CTAACCCTAACCCTAACCCTAACCCTAACCCTAACCCTAACCCTAACCCTAACCCTAACCCTAAGCGCGTACTGTGCATGTGCCATGCTGTGACTGCTGCCTCTTATGCCAAAAAGGTGGAACGCACACTGTAAGTGTATATGCGTGCGGCAATGGAGAGATTACCGCATGTTGCCTTGTGGCCCTTTTGTGCTGTTGAAGCGCGTGCTGCGCTGCGTACACTGTAAAAGTGGAATGCATACTGTGCATGTGTGCGTGTGGATTGTTAGACATAACAACTGTTCCCACCTCTGCAGCCCTGACCACACTCTCATGCACATATGTGCAAGTGACTCACCCTTTACCTTGGCTACTGCCTTTGCTGTGCCCATGCTCCAGTCTGTGCTCACATAAGGGCCAACTTTTGCCATCCTACTGTATTTGACTTCTATTTCTCCTTACGCATGCGCCCACTATTTTGATAAGTCAATGCTGGTGTCTGCTACCCATCTTAAACTTGAACTCAGAGCGCTTCAGATACTAAAACCCATGCAAGGCTTTATCCCCACATCCTTAATCCTTTTGACTTGATGTGCCCTACCTTTCACTCCTTGGACTGCCTTTCATTGACATAGGCATCACTAATTCACACAGCACATTCATATTTATCACCAAGTCACACATCTACAATGAAATCCAAACTCATGCTCACAAACCAACAAAATTCACATCACATAGTAGAAGGGGGAATGAACTTTGTTGCTTTTGTAAAAGTCTTTGTAGGTACAGATTTGAAAGGAAGAATACTATGTAATGTACAAAGGAGATGAACTAGTGAAATGATATACAGGGATCACCAAGTTGAAAGTTAATGGCCTCAGGCGCCCCAAGTGGTCTTGCTATTAATCTTTTGGTAAGTTTTGTAGCTTGCTGCATGATGGGAGGCTTCAGGTAGGCTGCGCAGCCCAAGGTCTGAGGCTCTTCCACCAGTCTCTCAAAATCTTCTTCACACCCAGGCACTGTTGTCCCATGGGCTATTAGTCCCCGCCACATCATGAAAACCCCAGGTCCATTCCGCATAATTATCCCCAGTTGTCCAATCCCAAAATCATACCCTCCAGACGGCATCTTGTCCCAGCTTTTCTTGTCTGTCACATCCAGTCCTACAGTGAACACTGGATCATGTGGATCCTGTAAAAAACCAAACATTAGCTAGCACTCAGTAAGGAGAATCTGTTCTCCACTCACCGTGTGATGTCCTGAGATATACCCTGTTGCTGCCGTTCCCTGCATCACATGCCCTCGATACCCCACAGATGGTAGTCCTGCCTCCCTAGTAACTGTCCTGTGCTCCTTATGCAGTCCAGGCAAGATTCCAGCTGTCAACCCCTCAAGGTAATCCAAAATGATCTCATCTTGAACCTCCTGTTGGTTTTGTTGGTCTTTCTGTAATGACAACACACAGTCAGCTCAAATCTCAATACAACAATCCTTCCATTACATACAGTCAGCTTTTTACCAGTGTTTTGGTAAGGCCCAACATTCCCACAGTGATCCAACCGGTATCCAATCCCTGCAGCAGCCCCAGAGTTTGTCCGTGCACTCTCCCGCCGCCAGCTTGATCGAGTCAGCAGAGCTGACTTGACTGCCGCCTGGCAGAGTGCTGTCCCCACAGCAGCCTGTTGTGCTCCATGGGTATCCATGCGTACACCAAGGAGTAAATCATCAGTGTGCAAGAGATCCCACTTCATTGCAGCAATGCTGGCCTGGCTCAAGAGCTGGCCATCCACCAATTCTACATCTTTGGTGGCTTCATGAGTCTTCACCAGGTTGGCATTGAGGATGAGGGCCAGCTGGGGCTCTTGTCCCTGTGACACCACATCCTCAAGAGGCTTCAACGGAGCAATGTTGAGCTTGTTGCTCTTCCATTCGGTATGTGCTCTGATGCTGGCATCAAGCTTATACTCCGCCTCAGATACCTTTGGTTTGACTCCCTCCACCACCCGCAAGCGCTCTCGAGGGATGCAGAAGGTTTGCTTGGCCCAAGCCTTAGAGCTAGGCACAAGTGGCACCCCTTCCTTGTCAACCCCCAAGCAGTACTTGGGCTCTTTGTCTACACCCAGGGTGTAGACAGAGCAAGATGCATCGACCAGAATCACCTGGACGCTCAGTGCACATTGCTTAGCAACTGTTACCCCACGGTCAAACAAGTTGCTGGCTGGCTGAGACGTGAGGGCAGCACCCTGTACCACAGAGCGTGCAATCTCCAGCCACTAAATGCATGTATTATGTGCAAGAGGTCAATGCCTTCCTGCTTTGATAGTCCTTTGCCTTTGTGCTCACCTTGTCATTCCCCACTGCTCTAAAGCCCATCCAGACCTTTTCCATGACCCCTGCAGTAAGCTCAGTAGCTGCATTGAGGCTTCTCCACAGCAGAGGACCAATGATGTCCTGTTTGAGCTGCTTGGTGTGGATCAGACCCCAATGCAGCACCGGCGGCACTGTTGTCAGACCTCTGACTTCCTCTTTGAGAGCTTTGGTAGCCCAGGAGATTGCGGTCATCTGGTCGTCCTCCGTTGCAGGCCGCTTAGCATTCTTTGCCGCTGCAAATGCTTGCCAGGCTGTTGTCATTGGCGCAAGTGAAGATGTCTGACTGTGAAGCCACGCATCCCACTGCAGCCTGAACAGCTCTACCTCAAAGGCTTGGATGCCACAGATGAGGTGTGAACCCCGCACTGTGGACCATCCAGCAGCCTCAAGGTCCTGCACTGGTGATTTGGCAAGCACCGCATTGAGCCAATTACGTGCCTTGTCTAACCTCTTAAAGAGGATTCTCCGACGTCCATCTTTATCCCTCAATTTCTTCTCCACCATGCCAATGAAGGGGAATGAGATGTTCCCATACTCCCTAAGGAGTGTTACTTGTTGTGAGGGTTTCACTATAGATAGGCCAAGTGATATCAACACCCATTCTCAGCCACTGCACTGCATCTGTCCAACACTTACTGTTGATCGATGTGTAATGCTTGATAGCAGAGAGTGATGATGATGATCTGCAATCCATCCAGTCAATGACATCAGTTTGCTTTCCCAATAGACAACCCCATCCACCGTTCACCAGCCTCAACTCACGTCTGTGGATTATGGCAAGTGGAAAGTGGATGGCAGGAAGACTTGTCTTTGTTGACTCTGTCTTCCCAACAAGGAAAGGCATAGGGCAGCTGTCAATCATGCCAGTTACTCTCTGTCTTTATGTTGTTTTTTGGGTAATTTTCCTCAACCTGGGCTCACAGATGCACCAACTGCTAGAACAGTGCACCAAGCTTATCCTTTGCTATGTCCCTATGTACATGCAGTTGCTACAAGCCTTGCAGAAGCGCTGCAAGTGTTGCAGAAGCGCTGGAAGCATGCCACAGCGCTACAAAGAAGTAATCTATGTCACATATCAGCCCTCTTGCACCTCAACTGAATGACCTTATGAGACGCAGCTGGGACATGCTGTCAGGACCACGCGCACCTGCGCCAACCATTGCACGTGACGCGACCCAATTGCTCACTGCTTGCCCCCACACACGCATCGCAAGTGCCCTGTTGGCGCTCGCCCGTCTCGCCTGAACTGCGCGCTTTGCAGGCAAAGCAGGCAAAGGAGGCAACGGCGTTTCCCTTAGTGACACCATCGCAAATACTATCTTACTCATTACAGCCTGTTTGTCTGAGTCCAGAGCCCTGTTCCTCGGCCAATTGCCTGACAGTCTAGTGTGTATTGCGTGCCACCGCACCCCTCTTGAGCTGTTGCCACTTGCCACAGGCCTAGCCAACCTCCCACGTGACTCTTGTAGTTGAGCATCTCCTTGGGTCTCACACGTGCCACCAGCACTATTTGTTTGGCTATCCTTATAGAATATATGTTGTATCATGCACTGCCTTGTAGCCAGAGGCACAGCTCACAAGGCTGAGTATCATCCTCCACCACCTGATTCCCTAACCCTCATTGGAGATATGTCACATCATGCACTGCCTTGTAGCCAGAGGCACAGCTCACAAGGCTAAGTATCATCCTCCACCACCTCATTCCCTAACCCTCATTGGAGATATGTCACATCATGTGCTGCCTTGTAGCCAGAGGCACAGCTCACAAGGCTGAGTATCATCCTCCACCACCTCATTCTCTAACCCTCATTGGAGATATGTCACATCATGTGCCGCCTCACAGCCAGAGGCAAAGCTCACAAGTCTGAGTATCATCCTCCACCACCTGACTCCCTAACCCTCATAGATTATATGTCACATCATGTCCAACCTCACAGCCAGAGGCAAAGCTTCCAAAACCACATGCCATGCACACAGCTCTAAGGAAATAACGCATGTCACATACAACCCCCTTGCACCTCAACTGAATGACTTTATGAGACCTGACTGGGGCACGCCAGTCAGGTCCTAAAAGTCCCTCAGATGAACAAGCTCAGTGCATACACACTGGTGCTTTAGCTTGTTCTGGAGCACTGACTCGCAACGTACGGCATCCTGTTGTTACGAGCCCCATGATGCGCAATGTCTTGCCCCTCACGGTCTACACTGCATGCGCGTTCATACAGTGCTGCTTGCTTACTAAGCGCCCCCAATAAGCGTGCAAGTGCCCACGGTCCAAGTGAAGTCTTTGCTACTACCACCATGCTATTACCTGAATCATAATGCCAACCAATACGACGCTCAAACCATATCTTATAGCTCTATTGATCCCATTGCATGTTGCCCTTAAATGAACAAGTTCTTTGCTCTCTGTACATCTGCTTGCAACATCTGTCCGCTTGCTCAACACACAAGTCTGCTTGTCATCTGCTTGTCATCCGCTTGTCTCATGTATCCGCTTGTCTCGTATATCCGCTTGTCTCATAGATCCCACGATGAACATCAATCCCCAAATGAACGCCTACCTGATCAACTGTATCCTTTGAAAACAACCGGGTGAACGGTTGCATGATCTGGTATCTATATTGCTTGTCTCATATATCCTGCAATGAATGTCAATCCCCCAATGAACGCCTACCTGATCAACTGTATCCTTTAAAGCCAACCGGGTGAACGGTTGCATGATCTGGTGTATCCCTCAGATGAACAAGTGATTGCTCCAGCCTCTGAAACGTCGTGCAAGCAGTCACATAGATCCCACAAATGAACATAATTACCTGATCAAGATCTGGTATATCCCCCATATGAACAAGTGAACAGCTTCATTCTCTGAGCTCAGAGCAACCAAGTAAACGGTCGTGCAAGCAGTCACGTAGATCCCACAAATGAACGAGTGATCAGCTTCGTCCTCTGAATGCAGAAGAAACCAAGTAAATGGTTGTGCAAGCAGTCACTTAACCAACAAGATGAATGCAAAGGTTATCCCCCATAGTAATCATTATTGAGGCAACAGGTTAGGCGCTCACCATCTCCATTGCCACCAACTATACTGGTGGTTTCAAACCGCCCACAGCATGGATCTGTAGACGCCAAAGCGCACGACAAACCCAGCTTGTAGACCTCTGAAGGTTACGTCATACCGCAAGCTCAACAGACAAGTCCGAAGCTCAGCAGATATAACATCCCCCCCTAAACCCCGCCCACAGCATAGATCTGTAGACACCAAAGCGCACCACAAACCCAGCTTATGGGCTGAAGGTTGCGTCATACAGCGAGCTCAACAGACAAGTCTGGAGCTCAGCAGATACAACATATCCCCAGCGCAAACCAAACATTCTAGACCTCAGGTGATCACGAGATACCCAGCTCTCACCGGCAAACCAGAGGGGCTGAAGATACGCACATAACCACCACCAGCTTTGAATGCATGGTGGACACCCATGACATCACAGAGCACCTAACCACTCATGATTACATCATACCCAGCTCTCGACGGGCGAACCGGAGGTGCTGAAGATAAAGACATAACCACCAGCAGCTATATGCCTGCTTTGTAGCATGAATGAAAGGTGAAAGGTCTAACTCCCTAGACCTTTCAGCAGTGCGGGCTTGTGAAGGCCTTTACCGCAAGAATACGCAGCAGCAGTAGCCTGTAAACAAGCCACTTGATACCATGCATCCCTACAGCCACTCACCAGCGCTGCTCTTAGGGCTGACAGGCATAAGGCAGCTCATTTTGAGTCATTAGACAAGCTGTAAAATAGTTGCAGCTACCTAGTTCTCCATTTCCCCTGCACACAGCTCTCTGATCTGTGATTTTTTTGCTAGCCCATCCTCCTTGAGTTGGCCAACAAAGTCTGGCAGTTGCGCAAGCATCCAGGAAGCGCTCATAGACGATGCAGCTGCTGACAGACCGCTAGCTGCATCAGCATCCCTATGAACGTGAACACAAAAGTGGTGTAAGGACCTGCCCCCTTGCACCCGACTTCAACAACATTACATGATCCAATTGGTCCATGCCAGCTGGGCCATTTGAGGAGCATAGATGAAGGAGCTTGGTGCTTGGTTGCAGGCCGTTGAGCACTTAATCTGCAGCAGACCGTAAAGCACGCAACAAACCCAGCGTTTGCAGGCCGCTAGAAGTGACGTCATACAGGGAGCTCACGGGACAGACGGCCCAGAGTTCAACCAGTACCCAAGAGCACAAAACAACCATCCAGTGCCTGGTGATTACATCATACCCAGCTCTCGACGGGCGGACCA